ATTCAGCACGGAAAATACAATATATTTGGAAAAAATGTAATAGTTTTAAAATAATATACTAAAAGTATTAATCATCAAATAAATCAGTTTGGATTGTAACATGAAGAAAAAGCAAATAAAAAATAAAGAAAAGATGATTCTATACGTAAATGAGTATAAAATATTTATTTTAAGATATATTTAGAATTGCATATTTTCTGAATATTATGATCATTACTATTGAAGTCAAATGGCAACACAGATAAACAATTGTTAATAATTCCATTTATTTTTTTTTTTGTAATCGTTTTATACTTAAGACTATAAACTTCACATATATAAATTAAAATATTTTTGGTAAAATTTATCGTGAATATATAGTAACAATTAACATTAAAATGTCGAAATAAATTGTCACGAAAGAAATTGTTAAGAATTGAAAAATTAAGCTAAATTTTTAAATTTTTTATAAATGTAGGTAAAAAATATAATAAGAAAGTGCCAATAATTGTTTAACTCTGGACTTTTAATAGTATATAAAATCTAAAGCTAATTATGAGCATAGCAATATAATGCAAATCTACCAAACATTTTATTCAACGAAAATAACATGTGCTATGCACATTCACGTTCCAGCAGTTAAATCTAAATACACAAATAACACAAGCGTTAAAAATACGAAAACTAACACTTTTTCTGCTCAGTAGAAATATAATACAATCTGTTTGTGGACGATAGAATCGAGATACATGCACGCAGGTGTACGCATAAACTTAAATGCTCAAGGTCTTTTGCCATGAAGTTTCTTCTCTGTTCGCGGTTTTCTCATCGTCCAAACATGTCCTGATGTAAGTGTTGACCTCATGGTTACCGGGAAATCATCAAGATACCGTGGACGTTGCTAGAGCTATCTATGGTGTGGCTGACCAAGAGTTTTTTTTTTAGGAATAAAAAGAATTGACGGCAAATCCCCGGATTGGGAAAGTTGAGTCGCCATCATCAGGATGATAAACGTAAAGACCACAATTATTCTCTAGTGCGGTATCAATTTCTCTTTGTTTAATATAAACCTTTGTTTAATACAAAAAGATGTATTTCATTTTGTAACATTATTGAAACATGTTACTAAACTACGTGGACTGTTCGAATACGAAAGGCAAGTTATTGGATGGTCCATTTGGATCCTATAAACTTGGAATGTGAAAAAAATTACATGTTTACAAAGCAGATTTCTGAAACTACTAATATAACGGTTTTAATTTGCTTTGACTCGCGAATGACTACCCAAAATGTTAGTATAAATATCAATTTTATGGCACAAGACATGGATTTCAAACGATACGAAATGCAAATTAAAAAAGGCTAAGAGAAATTTAATATCACGTTTACCCACAGTAATAATACGTTGAAAAAAATATACATATTAAATTTTAATCAATCCATTCGTTTGAATAGTACCAATTAAATATTTACTAAATATAAAGATACATTTATCATAATTCAACTATTATTTCTTTTATTAAGTAAATATTTATTTACCGCAAGTAAAAATTTAGTTGGTACTATTCAAATAAATGTTCATTAAAATTTACATTCCTTCTCACAGTACAATAATAATATATTCAACACCATCCGTTATAAATAAAAAATTTCTCTTCTCTACTTATTCTTTCGGAATCAACGAAATTATGTCGTTGGAATTATGAAGCGTAACGAAATGTTATTTTGGTTATCGTGCTACAAAGAGAGCGCTTTAAATTGTCGCTTATTCTGAGTGAGTTCATGATAAATTTCACGTCGCATAGGCTTCGTGGATTAATTTTCAACGTGTAAGATAATATTAGCTGGTCGGGGCACTGAAAGCGTGCGCGAATAACTTTGCGCAACTATCCTGCGGCCGGCATTCGCGCAACCACCGCCGTTAATAAGGTGTTAGTCTGGCTGGCACATGATCGAGAAACACGGGGCATAGGATAGGACGTTGCAACAAAAGCAACGGTGACGGGTACAGACGAGCCGTATCCGGGACGTCGACCAATAAAATTAATCGCTTTTGCTACATCGCCTGAATAAATTATGCTCGCTGTTGTGCTTAGGAGTTGACCGATCATCTTTCGCGACCGAGAAGTGTGCTTGTAACATAATTAGAATAGATCGTTTATAAAAATAGACACTTATTCGCATTTGCGAACACGCAATTGAACGTAGATTTAATAACATTTTCTCGGAAAGATGTTTTGCAAATATGAATATTAACGTCGCAAACCAGTTGCAATATCAGTTAAAATATTACATCTTTTTCATTCTCTTATGATATATTCAAGTAAAAACTCATTTTTATTTAATTTCATTATTTTTTTAAGCGTATAAATATAATTTGATAAATATATTTAACTGTGTGAGACTTTTATGGAGATGTTCTATCAAATCTAACGTCATCATTTCATTATCATACGGTATAGAAGGATTATTTTGCATGTAAAAAAATGTATTTTTTTTTTTTAATTTAAAAACGATTTTACTTCTCAAAACAATTTGCACCGTTTTGAATGTGAAATGAGATTTAATGCGATTTAATTGAAACGCTGCATAAAGAGTATGTACCGCCGGTATGTCGTGAGTCGCGTCCCGTATGTGGCTTTCTTCAATTTCGAAATATATGATGCATGAAAGTCGCTGGCCTGTAAAACTGTCGACATGTCAATTGGTAGTTTCTTCCGTGTTGCGTCCCCATAGCCACGCAACAATGTTGCCCCCAGATGCGGTATGCATTATTCAATGTACCCGGAAGGCCACTACGGATCCGCCGAAGTTGACTCTCCTCCACTCTACGCGACTTGTATTTTCTTTATCCCGCTACTGCTTCCTACATACTACTTGGTAAAGCTCGCAGAAATGCGCTAATTGCGTTTAAACCGAGAAATACAAGAAGAATGCAAGAGACATAACTTCTCACATCTTATAAATAGATGTGCCAACACTGAAT